GGAGTCCCCCCGGAAGGGTGAAGCTGCAGCGTGACAGCGTGTAATCCACCAGGGAGCAGGTGAATCCATCACCTCAGAGTGGTGCAGGCCCAGTGGTGCTGTGGTCACACCGGGCTGCTAACAAGGTCTGCAGTTAGAAATCATGTCACTGGGGTAGAGAGATAGGGTTCCTCTTCCTGTAGTGTCTCTGAACCCCACTAGGGCTTCTCTACCCTGACCTACATAAAGGACCACGGGGAGCAGGAGGGACTCGATGGCAGTGAGCTTGTTTCTTCTTCTTGGGGGTGGGGTGATGGGAGCTCTCACAAGGTGGTAGGACTTTGCAGTGACGCTGTTTCATGGCCATGTGCAGAAAGAACTGGAGCACCGAGCACCCCCAGGACCCGGACCTTGGTTTCTAAGCATCGTTTTGAGGAGCCCGGGTGGTGCAGCTGGTTGTTCAAAACCACCGGCCACTGCCTGGGAGGAATGGCTTCTCAGAAGGAGTTAGTCTGGGAAACCCACACGCGTGTACGCAGGCGCACATGTGTGTTCTACCCTGTCGTGGGGCCCTTATTAGTCGGCACTGACTCAATAGCAGTGAGTTTGGAGAGAAGTCGTCTTGGGGAAGGGATGGTTCAAAGGCAGGGCTGGGAAAGTTCAAGATGAGGCTGAAGTATCCTCTTGTGTCGGAAAGCAAAGGAAAAGGGGATTTGTCAAAAGGACATAGGAGCTAGCTCACAGGGAACTTCACTCAGTGGACAACTCAGGGGCCAATTGGAGCATCAATCACCATAGTAAAGAATGGAAATATGGGAGGAAGCAGGACAGGCTTTTCATAGTAAAATCCCAACCAATTCATGTGGCAATTACGGTAGAATCAGGAAACCATCCTTCCCCTGGATGCTGCTGTGTCTTCTCACGGCGTCCTCTGGGCCCAAAGCTCGTCAGCTCCCTTTCCCCTGGCCAGCTCCAGTTGCTCCTCAGGGCCCAGCACCATCGCCCTTTCTTGGGGGGCCCTTTTAACCCACTCATGAACCCCACCCCCCTGCATTCAATGATTCACCTGCTTCCCAAGCCCAGACGCTTTCTCGGCAGCACTTACCACGATTCTGTTTGCGTTCGGCACTGCTTCTCTCCCCCAAGCAGGGCAGTTTCAGTGGGGTTTTGTTAGTGCACCTTGCTCTTGCTGCCATGGGATTTCCAGGGCCCCACTGCCACCAGCCTCCCCCCACCCCCGCTCTTTTTAGGTACAACCTCTACCCCACAGACCTACCCCCAACACACTCAGAGGCGGTGGGTGGCAGGCAGGCACACCCTAAGCGGGGGCAGTGCCGGAGAAGCAGGGGTGAAGGGCGGAGGCTGTGTACGTGAGGGAGCAAGGAGCCAGGAGGTGACGCGTCCTTTACTGATATTCCCCCCTCCAAACAACCAGACAGCAGCGTTCCCACTGCGGGCACTTCTTTTCCGATCCAGGCAAACTCAGATTCCAAACCCCAGGGCCCAGTCATTGTGCAGAATTCAAATACGGTCCAGACACCAGGAGGGCGAACTCCACGGGTCGCCTGGACTTGGTGTGGTTGAGGGCACAGTCCCAGGTGGGGCGCCTGGAGGCCACATGCGGCCTGTGGCTGTCCGTCGGGGGCGGGGTGAGTGGGGAGGGGGCAGCACTACTTCTTCTTGGTTGCTCGCTTCCCTTCTCCTTTCCTGGGCTTCCCCTTCCCACGGAGCTTCTTCAGCCGCAGCTGCTCTTCCTTAAAGTCCTGGTGCTCGTCCCTGAGGGAGAAGAGGGCAATCAGCCAAGCAGACATGAAGCGAGGGAAGAACGGAGCAGGAGGGCCCCCACCCCCAACTTCCAAGGAAAGGCAGCTTCCCAGAGCCAGGAAAGTCTGAGCAGCAGCCAGTCCCCAGGCACACCCAGCCTCGATGCGCAGCCGGCACGGCAGAGAAAACACCCACGCCTGCAGGGCCAGCCTGGTCCCCACAGTGACAGCAGCTACTAGCGGCGTGACCTTGGAGCCGCAACCTCCACTCTCAGGTGAGGTGTGGAGGAGGAAGTACAGCGGACAGGAGCTGCTGGACCCAAGCTTTACCCCTCGGCTGCCCACATAGGCGGGTCCTT